GCTTTACTGACACAAGCTCGGTATATTCATTTGGCGGTCTTGTTTTTCCTAAGGTTAAAAACGATTGGGAAAAATCCACGTCTAGAGCAGCGCTTAGCTAATAACACCTTTTCACTAGATAGACTTGCAAATTCTGAATTTTACTGATTTGCCTTACAGAACTTGAACTCTGAACTTAATGATTTTGAGCTTTCGGCGTACGCTGCCACTAGATCATCAAAGTAACTCAACTTTAAGGCGATCTTTCTTTTTTGACCTTTAAGAGCCTTTAGATCTGCCGCCTTCCCTCGATAAGGGATTTGAAAACATTCCAGGGTTGCATTCTAACGACTATATAATTCACGACATTATATCTACAATCCAAGCATCAAACAGCGGTGATGTAATTTATGTAATGTATACCATATTCATATATTCCATGAAGTTGCCAGCTTCTAGTAACCGATCAAATATGATTCCTGTGGAGAACAAAATATAATTTTCGGTGAATTCAAAATGGTCGATATACACGATCTCGCGAAGAACTAGCGTACCTCCCGAGAACGCCTCTCCATTCCTAAAGCAAATTATGTCGCTAACATATAACTCAAGATTTTATTTCTTCAACATATTCGTAGCGTATTATTATTATGACAAACGCATACATTATGTAGATGTCACCCACTTCTCTATTGCTAGAAAAATAGAGAAGCATTTTATTATTTGAAAAAAGAAATTGAATGGAAGGCGCCTTGTCAATTTGTTATTAGTATGATCTGAAAACTCTCAAGCTTAGACACCTTCCTTAAGCTTCCTAAAGCAATCTCCCTTGCTTCGGGTAGTTCTTCTGCTTGCATTAAACACATACGCATTACACGCATGGTTAATCGCAAGACACTTCCCGTTTGGACCTATATAACTCTACTATGAACAATAGTTGACATTGAAAAAAGGCTATTTGCGTAAGTATCTATTATTTGTTCATTCAGTCGTGAGGAGCAAAGCCAGGGCTCTTGACGTGACTGGGACGTACTTAAGCTCCACGGGCAGTGACAGCTAAATCTTACCAGAAGAGTCTTTATCCTTGAGAAGACTGTTTGTGTGGACACACCATATACTTATACACTACATTCAGAACTTTAGAAGCGACAGCTTGTCTGATGGATGACGTTGGGTAGGGCATATATTACAGAATCCCGATCGATACGCCACTGTTTGTTTGTTGATGATAGCGTGCCCTTCCTAATGTTTGTAAAGCCAGTGGGTGCTCCCGATGGCGTAGTCAAGACAATTTCAAGCGGGCAGAAAATTAGACCATGCTTATGCTATGCATATAGCGGAAAAAACGCTACACAAGGTTATACTGAATTTGTATTACTGATTTCTGTTGTTCGTTCGTGCTATCGTGGAAGATCGTAAGAGAAAGCCCGCGAGCAAATGAATGTATTATTTAATTCTGGTCATTACTTTCGTCGTTAGTTCGCCACCTTTCAATTCACTAAAAAATGTTAACACAGAGCGAAAAATCGATAACGTCGAACCGAAAATAACAGCTTCGTTGAACTTTACTCGGCTGTAAAAAATGGCAAATGTTTAGTCCTACAAAAAGAAAAAGTTTTTGCAAATCTCTAACAAAAACCAATCTTACATATCATATGATTGTGTTATTAAGATCAGGTGATGCATGCCATTGAATAGAACTCTTGTAAAGATGACTCAATGCCCAAAATCATAGCAGTATGGATAAGTGAGAACCAAGAGTTAATAGACGAACGCAGATATTAGCGAGGGTTTCAGTTTTACTATGAAGTTCCCCCCTCCTCGTAGTGATGAGTTCTCTTTTTTTTCTTAGCCTTGAGCCTGCTTTTGGGTGACTAAATTGCTCTATAGCTGGTCTGCAGTGTGTCATGTCTACCCTGGAGTTTCTTGAACATTATAATGAAAACTGTATGCTTGTATGTGCTAGCTTTACTGGCGGTCGTGATTCTAAATTAGATGGACTTTGTTTTATGCTTGAAACGATCGGCCGCCTCACAACAGCAATGCAATTAGACGTTTACCTAGGTACCTTCCTATTAGGTACGCTGCAGATGCCCTGGAGTAAATATATTTGTTTTCATTGTACAGTAAAATACTACAAATACACCCGGAAGAATGGGACTGCCGGTAGTACATGTATTTTCCAATTTGCGACTCGATAGCGTGCCATGGTTTTCTTTCTATCGTCTGAACCATGCTTATGATTCCGGTAAAATTCAGGCTTGAAACTCAAATTTAAACTAAGATTATCTTATACCAGCTCACGCCATTACCAGCAATTTTAGAAGCAAAAAACTTTTACTTGCTCTGAGAACTTTTGACGACCCTTATAGCATACCATATGCTATACAATATAACTCGTATTAGACAATTTTGTTAGCACCTTAATAATAATATGAATAATTTATTATTATTTATGACTTCACTATATGTCCTCACGACACTTGAACCAAAAGCCTTCTGACTGCTCCTAATATTGGCCTCGTTGAAGTTTAAATACTGTGACGGTTATCACAACAACGGCTAGAGTCTTCTGAAACAATCACATGTAAAAAAAAAAAAAAAAATCTTTTTGAGATCTACCGAACTTCTGAAGAGCAGACATTTTTATCATCTAAATTAATTGGGTTCATAAAAAATTTGTTTCAATATTAAAGAAAGGATTGCTTAATGTTGTAGCCATTAGATACAACTATTATATTGTTAATAAAGAAAGCCTAATATATATATATATATAAAATTTTTTTTTGATAACCGGACCCCTTATGAAATCTCTTCGAAACGTCTAGCGGTCGCTAGCACCAATGTGTTACATTTTTGATGATTATGGGCATTAGTATATCTTTTCTTATACATCATTATGAAAAATATTACACATATTTTTACGTAGATTTGATATTTTTTAACAATCGGCCTTTCAACGCTCTTTTAATATATATATATTATACATATATATAGTATATTACAAATACATAGATAGGTTCTATAAATATCAACTCCAAGATCCTGCACTTAAGCATGCATACCTCTTCTCCATAATTTAAGCCGGCATTATTAAACTGAAATCGCTATTGCATTTACAAAATGTAGACAAACATATAAACGCACAAAATCTACAAATATTGGACAGTTACAGGCGGATTTGGCGAACTTCTGAGCTTAGAATGATAACCTGCCATGTAGGTACATGTGTTTTTTTGCAGTTGTCTCGAGCCTCTAACAGCTTCTGACACTATCCACGTACGTGCTATCATCGTTTTGGTGTGCAATCTTTCCACGGCCTTCGAAGTAAATCGACAGTGAGATACGCACGCCTATTTGTCGTTCCTTTTTACGGCGAGGAAACTTCCGTAGATGCAGCGTTTGATTCTCGGCGAGTAGGTTAATAATAACATGACCGTGATGTCCATTGCAGACACTACCATTACCCTGCGTCCAAACCTACTCGACAATGCCACTGAATTCGATGTCTTTCCAGGGCCATTCTCCCAGTCAAAGGGCCTGACGGATTTCATATTGAAATGTAAAAGGTTCCGATAAACGTTGCTGATCGACAGGTCGATGATGCAATTAGGCTCTGCAATCTGACTCGACGAAATGAGGGCTTTTTGCACACTTGACCAATTGAAAATACCTAGGTAGCCAAGTGTAGAAGCAAATTAAATTTACAACAATTAATTTCATGAACAGTCCGTTCTCAAACATCCGTTAACTGTCCGCAGATTTGAGCATTGTCATTTAAGCGAGCACATTAAGCCGTGGGCGACTCTTTGCTCAATGCTTTTTTGACTTCAGCAATTAACAGAAAACTCAAAATTTACATCTGTGATAGAAAACCAAGGGTATATCGTAGTGGTAGCTCTCCCTACTTTTAAACGTGTACTGTAATATGACATAAGAACTTAATTTGGCAGTATTTTTTTTATCGGTGATTCGTAGTAAAAGCTTTTAGGACAAAGAAATATCAGGTTAAACGAAAAGGCAGTTCGTTGTCTTTGTTCTCTCCTGCGTAGCTCTAGTGAAAAAAACAAAGGCTCCTCCACTGCTCAGTCGAAACAGAAGCAACGAAAGTGTCATTTGTAATGTATCAATCCGTAATGTTTCTTGCACCTAACATAGGCGCCCATTTATCATAGGACCCAATGAGGGTAGACAGAGGGCATTATCTGTCCAACTGCTCGATTTTTCATCGACGCGAAATACTTACTTTTCGAATCGTGTAAAACTGAAACACGGTCCAATATGAAGCGGTCGGTAGATGGGAAGCAACAAATACTTGTGACAATATTCATGCAGCAGCTAAAATGATTTGAAATAAAAAAACTTCCCTGACGCAAACGCCGGATGCAGCATTGTCGTCCTGAACTCGTTTACCATACCACGTAAGTAAACGGCGGTTGTTGTGGCTGTCATCGTATCGCTGTTAATACCAATCGTCATGTTTCTGCTACGAAAAGGTACCTGCTTGCAGGCAACTACTGCTGCCAATGAGAATAGGTAACTTCTTGCTGCAATATTGTCTCTGAAACGTGTATTCATGCAAAATCTACAATTTTGATATTTTTTGTTTTTATCGCTCTGGATTGATTTCTGTGTAGTGGACGCGAATCGTTCACACAGCAAAAGAAAGGATCTGCTTATGCATCATACCACTGTCACAGGTTCTTTAACTTTTAAATTCTAAAACTTATCAAAAGCTCATGTAAAAAAAATGACAGAGTTGAGCCTAAATCTAGCCAACACTGACACGTTCTACGTTTTGTAGATCGACTGTTAGTATAGTTGAATATGGCTTTGTCCAGATTACTCGTACTATGCAAGTTGTGTTAGTAACACTTTTTTTCTCTACGGTGTTCAATAGGGGACAGCAGAACACCTATCGAAGGAACTTAACGTAAAAAAAGATGATCCCGCAACTTAATTATTAGTTTCTGTTCTGTATCTATGCAATTCGCCTCTTTTTGTCCGTCGGCCTTTTTTTAAAAAAAAACTAGTGCAAAGGAGCTTCTACCACGAGCGCCAGCGGTCTGAGCCATTTGCTGATGCCGCTCCTACAGATGGTGATGATGATCACCACCATGGTGACTTTGGTCTTATCAGTTCCTGATTTCTCCGTTGAAGAGCAAATTCAGAGCCCGACGAAATACCGCCGATGTGCGGCGCATAGGCACCCTTCCGCGGCCGTGCGCAGCGGAACACTGGGAAATCACATTCGCTCAGAGGGAATCGCATTAGAGTTCCGTCCATTCGCTGGTCCCTCAGCCTGTCGTTATAAGTCCGTCCACCAATTCGACTCCTAGCCTATTTCCTGCCATTGCTGCTGCCGGCAGTGGTGGTAGTAGTTGAGCCCATTTTCCTGAATTTCCCTTCTCAGACACCGCTGCGCTAGCCATGGCTCCTCTACGGTTTCACGACTCTTTCGATAGAGACTTCAGCGCCGCTAATGCTATCTTGCACTTCACTTCTTTCATACACGTAATCGGAGGTTGGGGCTAATGCAAGAGCCAAGTTATTGGCTGCAATGGAACCAGAACTGAAGGTAAGGATAGAGCTGTTAAGGATGAGTACGGGTTAGGACAGGGTAACACAGACATGAAGCGGTAGGCAAGTAAAAAGACGAAGATGACAAGTATTTGTACTGAGAAATGTGCAAGGCAAATTATATTTGATTCCTTCGCACTTTGCGATCGTCAAACGAGATTACCGGAAGACGGCATTGGCGGGTCGTCCTGCTCCTTGTGGGCCGCCATCCATTCCACGTGCGCAAAACGCTGCTAGCTGGGAAATACGAGCCGCTAACTGCAGACCGGTAGCAGATGGACACTGAACGTGGGGCATACGAGCTGGTTGTATGAAAGTACAGGATGGCAAATGAACGAATTAGCGTTCTTTTACGCTTGTTAATTTTTTCCCTATTCTTTCTATTAGCTATTTTTCTCTTTATCGTCATCATCGTCGTGTTTTTGTGAAGCCCCTTCCTAGCTGGATCTTATCGGTTGTGGGCCTACAAAGCCCCAGAAAACGGGGTTGATTAAGAAAGGCGTGTCCAACGATGTGAGCCAGATGAGCGTTAACTACTCGTTGAAAAAGGAATCTATGCATAGACGCATATTCTAGATGCAAATTGTTCCACAGAACCAACCGTGGCAGAACGTTAAAAGATTAGGTATTCTGTAAGTGAAAATCTACAATGTTCTGACGCCGCATTTTTTCTGATAATAACTGGAGGAGGATTGACAACTTCAGGCGGTAATAGACAGACTGAAACAATAACTTTTAGCTAAACGTACAACGTGAAAAACGCCGTCTAGTTTTTGTATTCCATTTTTAACACTTTTCTACTTTCAGAACCTTTGCGATTCTTGTAAAGATGGAACAAGACAGGCAAGTGGAGTTGTAAAGGTCCTGGGTTCAGTATATATTTTCAAGAAAAAAACTCCTGATTTTTCGTATTTTAAGGTAATGCAAATATATATTGTATATTAGTGGCAGATAATAGCGATCTATTCGGTTTATACTTATATTAATACCTGGGCCGTAACGCTCAAGCGTGCTACTTTCGCTCAAATTGTCTAAGATAGTTCGTGCTTTTAGAGTTAGAGTTCCTTCGAATTGCCAAATCTCCAGACACGCGATGACACCCCTTTCGAAGCTGCCCACTGTTTGCTATAACAAGATTGTCCATAGGATTATCCAAACATACACACCATTTTCATATTATTCCTGGGAGCTGCGGCGCCTGTTTTATTTGCCAAGTTATATTTTTACCTTCTCCCGTTAATCCCAGTACGGATGCACCACGGTATTCTATGGAACTGATCGCGTCCTTAACTGTAGATTTCTTTAAATGAAAACAGACGTTCAAATGTGTGCGTTTCTTCCCCTAGGCTTAGAACCTCGGCAAGCATTACAGCGAGTCACCATCTTCCTGAGCTGAGAACATATGTCGATGCCGATTTAATAGTAAGTAAAAGCTTTTCGGGTGCCTGTATGTTCACCTGTCTGTTCGAAGTGGCGGAACATGATTGTGGTTTCAACCTGTAGTCGCACAGTCAGTGACACTCGGATCCGCTGAGGTGTACCCTTCCGAGGAATGTCTGCCCTTGCGTCTCTATAATTTGCCAGTGACGTTTTCCGACATCAGCTAAGACATCAGACATCCTACGTAAACGAACGCGTGAGGTAATCTCTTTGGGCCCGCGCGTCACATCCAGATGCGTGAAGTAGTGCTCCCGTGAAAACTGCTCAAATAGACAAACCTCAGTGTTTAGGTTACACTTAGCAGAAGGCCATAAGGCTCGAACTGGCGCTCATGTACCTACCCCTACGGTCAATCGCATCGTAGATACCTGCCGCTGTCTCCAACGCCCGAATCTATTGCCCAAGCCTTGAGCGGTAGATTCACCGGCAACACAACCCCTTTTATATTCCCCAGATACTCCAATCACGGTACTTAGCGTCGCAGCTTCGCTGACCGCTTCCTCCATCTTCAAATTATTCGCGTCGTGACAACTCGGTTTCGCTTCCCTCTTGCTGCCACCAACTGGCGCGAATTTCGTCTGCATAACAACAATAGCGAAGAAATTATCGATGACTTAATCTATTGTTGGATATATGTATATGGATATCCTACTGTCCAGTAAAAGCTGGCCCTATATCACTGACTATCCGTGATCTTGTCTATGTATGATTTTTCGTAGCGCAAAAAATATTTACCAAGTTAAAAAATCAATAGCCTCCTGCCAACAACCCAAACGACAAACAGCTGTAAATTAAAAAACGTCCTTTATAAACAATGTACGATATTTATCTGTGACTAACCTTTTGCAGAACCCTGTATACTTACTAACATGTACTCAATTAGCCACTTTTTTCTATATAGTTCTTTTGTATATATGTTTCATATAGCTTTGAGCAAAGCAAAAGCTGCGATCCATTTCAATACGCATGGTGAAATGATCCGATTCTTTCATCCGCTTACTTCATATATATGTTCTAATCCAACTGAAAAAAAGCTGAAGAGTAGTCGTGAGTGCTAAGGGCTTAAACCAATATTCTGCCCTTTCGCCTCGGTCCATATGGAAACATTATGGGCTGTGGCCGCACACAGAAACTAAGGCTGTTTGGTTAAGCGATTTTTAAAACCATTTGCGGCAAACGCATCCGGTGCGCCGATGTCACAGTCCTAAATGACCACGCTACACGTAAAGGGAGTTTCTGTACATGTGCGTAGCGGAAAATTGAAAAGATCTAGCCCCTTCACTTCGACTAGTCATACTTCAGCCTAAACACAACAGTTTGAAGAATGTCTCATTCCACCTCATTCCAGTGCACTAAGGCTACGCATCGATACCCAGCCTCCAGTATCATTCTAAATCGTCTTAGGACGCCATCTCTCGTCCTCATCGTACTACAGGGCATGTCCTTGCGTTATGATAATGTCGCAGTGCGACTAATGCTACTACAGCTTAGCAAATTGTTCCACAATCATTCTTTTTCTCTCTTTTCACAGTTTTCCACTTTCCCTATCGAACGACCGTCCTTCGGCCAATTTAGCAACCCGCCAAGTTTCCGATTCCAGCAGACATGCGAATTTTAGGCCGACTTTGTTTCATTGCCGAAATCTTCTGTCGTTATTCTCGTTCGTGACCGTCGTTGTGGTTTGACTGGCGTCATTGCGGCAAGCGTCGTCTCTCGTATGCACGACACTGGTCGAAATCAAATCATTTTATGGCTCCCTAAAGACGCGACAAAGAGCCCAGAGTTTGCTAACAGCACATTAGACGTTAACGTCGCAATTTGGTTTGCGTACTTTGTCAATCTGCGCTCGTTAGGGTTTAGGTGAAGGGTCTTTTTGATACGTAAAGTCGTTGTCGTAGTCACAGGTACAGCTTGACTCAGAGTCTAACTAGAACACATCAGCGTTAACGGAATTGGGCACCACCTTTATAGTTCGTAGGATCGCAGCTATAAGCTGATGCTATAGACTTCTTGGGTAATAGGACTAAAGAGCTTACAGAGATTAGCTAAGTTGCAACCGCATTTATACATTTTTTAGACCAAAGTTATTTGGTTAAGAAGTGCGCTGTGGCCATCCTTCAACGTAGTTGGATTCTGACGATTGTTTGTTACAAGTTCGCAATACGACATTTGTAGGCTTCGTTTCTAGGAAATTTCAAAGCCACATCTATGATATATTGACAAGCCTGCACGACATTTGATGTCTTCCATAATCGCAAGTATCGAACAGCCGGCTATTCATCGATTTTAGAAATATACCTTTACAAAACGTATTGGCTTAGATCTGTGATCGAATAAATTCAACAGTCAAACGATGAGACAGCGTTTACTTCTGATGTCAATGAAACCACCCCGTGGCATCTTCATTCACTCATGAATTTCCTTTAGTCCTTGCAATTTCCTTTGGGTAATTGGAATCATTTCCCACTTCAGTGCAGCTGTTACAAACCTTTACTATTGAAGTTAACTCCGCTTTCAAAGTAAAGCAGGGCACATCACTTGGCTAGCCCCGCCATGCCACCCTTCGCCGTTTCTCTCCTTGATCTCAGTCACCCTACAGAAACACGACAATGTTGTGGCAACAACATGGTCAAAGATGTGCAGACCTCGAGGTACGAAATGCTTCCCTAACAGATTGCCCTGCTCAAGTCTGCGCGAATAATAGCTGCCACTGTTTTCTGTGGGTGATACCGTTCACCATGTTGCCGTCAGCGGCGACAATACCAGAAAGCAATATTGTTTGGTCGTCTGCGTCAAATCAAAGTATTTTCTATTTTGTTTCTCAGTGATACGGCTGAACCCGCGACAGATAAAAAAAAAAGAACGGATGTTCAGAAGAGAGACTGGGCGAAGAGGAAACGTACATTCGAAATGTGGCGCGCTTTTTTGAGCTCATAGCGGTTGTCGAGCATAGCGGAGTCTATAGTATTCTGTGTCCGACTATTTTAGAGAAGAGAGTGTAATCGATAAGTACAAAAATATATACGCTTTGAGAGCCACCTGATAGCTCACGAAAAATAGAAAGGGAGACGATTAGCAGATATCGGTCTGAGGAATCATAACGCAGCTTTCAGGCAGACAATATGTTATACTAGTACTGAAAGGGAATGACTTTTATGCTTGGTTAGATTTCGCCACGTTGAGTCTTTCTTCATGTAAGTTATAATTTTGATATAGCATGACTTGCTCGCAGTATTGTCTGACTCCGCTGCGCTCAAAGATATGTGTTCGGTGCTTACCGGCCATTACACAGAAAATAACGACATTATTAAGAGAAGCTACTTGACATAATTGATCCGGCACTTTCTTGTAAAAAGCGGTATTTCTACCTAGAGAGATTCAAATTAAGCAGTCATATCAAGTTGTGTGCTTGTCTTTGAAAATCGATTTGTTTACCGTTTCCAATATCTGTTTATCTCTACGTGTTTATGAAATTTCTATGACTAAGATTCGATTCATATCGTTATATGGGTCGGTGAACTGGGTGACAACACATTTAGAAGCACAATACTTGGTTTTTTGTAAATTTGTAAGAAACAGTAAATTTTTACGGTTCCCTGTAAAGTTCATCTTTCATGCTAAAATCATTGTTCTTTTATATGATATTAAACTAGTAATTGTAGATTGCCGAAACATATGTCATTCAAAGGTATATATCATAGTTGACAGCTAACAGTAATTAATTCACATAAGGATAATATTTATGAAATACAAAAAAAAATTAAATTACCGGAGATAAGCCAGCTCTTGAGTTCTTTCGTGTAAGCTGCGCGTTCACCATATCCACGTCACAAGGAGTATAGAAAAGCACAAGCGTTCTTCCCTAGGCTCTCTGTTTGTAGGAACCGTTCACAAACGTAAACGTGCTAAATAACATAAACTTGAAACTCCGAACGAAGCCAATATAGGAACACCACATATTCTAAGATAATGGTTTTGAACGACACATGACCCCTTGATCATCCCGCAGATAAACCATGACCAACCTTGTCCGAGCGACAACCTGACGTCGGATTGGTGTCTCAGGACGCCCTGGTGCCCTACCTTCTCTAGCCACTATAATCAGAAGCGCATGTGGGGAAACGGCAGCGTTCCAAATGGAGAACAAATTTACCGTATTTAGTATCACTATCGGAACTTCGGTAATGAGATGAGTAAAATATTCAACATGGACCATATCTAACACCCCTGTGAGTTTTTCAAGGAAATTTGAGCATAATTCGCTGGGTCACTTGTGCTGCTCGATTGCTACGAGCACGAACGGTTTCCGTCTGAAGAGAAATCGAATATTACCAAATAGCCCTGGGTGATCTTTTCGTGTCCTATGATATGGAACCCGCCTGTAATTATCTTATAAACCGGCAAATCTTAACGATAAAACAACGCCATTTCTCGCGGCCGATAGTAGTTCCCACGATTCGTAAGCAAAATATCAGTGGACTAGATGCCATCCTCTCAATGTGCAGCACAGCTATATTGTCGAAGACAAAGATTAATACATTTATTGACGTCTCTAAGGTGGAAAGTGATTCCGCACTGTGATCAATTTATTATTTAGTTTAGGGCATTATAACATCGGCCGGTCTCACGGTCTATTCAACGCCGTTGGCATACCGTATATAATTATAATATATTATATATATTATAATTATATACGGAACATAGATATTACAGTATTTACACGCGAAGCCTTTCTATTACCAGAAACTGTTGACCGCTGAAAGTCCTGGATAGGCGGGAGGCGATATAGGGGTTAAACGCGTTCCTATTCGACGCAACGAGCGTGTCAATCAAACCATAACAATTGTCCAATCATATACAATGAAGAGAGCAATAGGGCAGGTACAGCTGAGTGTTTTGTGAACGGCGTATATGCTCCATAGCAGGTGTACAGGTGGCGGAACAAAGAAGCTATAACAGAACGCAGTATAAATTAATATAGTTCAGCGGAACTCGATGCCCAACGATAACTGCCCACTTCCGCGTCAGTTTAATAATTCTGTATACAAGGTTGCGAGTACTTAAATAGTACTGTATGCTAATTCGGCTTAAACATAGTCTAGGATTAATTGGCTAAACAATCAGTTATGTATCATGACATGATCAATTAATATTTGTCCAAAAGAACGTACCGAATGTTACTATTACCACGTACAAGCCGATAAAAAGTCGCAACGCTGGCAAGTTCCTTACACGATTGTTTACTGAACTGGCTAAGACTGCTGGTTTGCAGATTTCGCTTTCAGCGCCGTTGTTTTAACTAAGCATTGTTTCAAACGGCTGACGGGAGGCCCCTTCCAGCATATAACAAACTTTTTGTCTATCAACACTTCGGAGCAGTTTTTTTTTTTAGCAGAATTGGAAGATTTTTTAACGGACGGTAGACTACCTAAATCGTTTTACGTGTTTTTAAGTTCAGAAGGTTAATATTATATCACCACACATTCATGGAGATCGTCCAAACCTTTTCCCGCGGTTGTTGTTGTCCTTCTAGTTGGACAGCCGAAACACGGTCTACTTGCGTGTGATAGAAAATGCTCGGAAAACATTGGAGCTAAACTATATCATTACAAATTATACCTATGGGCATTAATGCGCATAAAATAGTTCTCTGTGGGAGATGACTGTAGTCCACGGCGCATACGAGCGGACGTCGACTGATGAAACGCATTGACTTTCCGGTGTCTTTTATACCGCTCAAGGACATTCCAAGCACTAGGCCAAGGTCCAGTTAATCCCGCTGGCCTGGCCCCACACGCTGATTATTTCAAATTTAGCGGTTTTTTTTCTAAGAGTTATTCCTGATTGTCTGCGCTGTTTACAACATTGGCGGCGCCAGTTTGAAGCAGTTTTCTTTATACGCGACCACGGGGCTACGAGACGAGACGACTGCATTGCAGACGTGGCGTCGTTCGATGCTGGAAGAAAAGTAGCTGAAGTAACGGGATAACGGAATCATTACAGCAGACATTCAGGGTTAAAGGAAACGTATAACCATAAAATTGTAGATATGCATTTGGATCTAGTACGGTTATAGTACGGATCAAGTTACCAGATAAACTGTGGATCCTCTATTTGAGGATACGATGTCTTAATCATAGATGGTCGTCGTCAGGAAGTCCGGCTTAGCCGAATCCTCCTCCGATTCATCGAAGCCAATAAGACAGACTATCTATTCCGGGCATCAAGAAAGTTCATACTGTTGGGGGGGCGGGGGGGGGGTCGCCCTTCACGAAAATATTACGCTGTTTTAACTGAAATTCCGAACTGGTTCTCCATATTAAATAGCGTATTTGCGATTTTACTCGACACATAATTGGCTCTTTGATCCAACAACAAAGCTGTCGCATGAACGAAATGTTTGCTAAAGCCTGTATAGCTTCACTAAGAATTATAGCTTACAGAAAACGCCAATACTTCTTTTGTCACACTGTTAATTAAGTAAACAAAGGTATTTTTGAACTCCAAAAAATCATAACATCAGAAAAACGAAAGAAACTTTTCAACGATACTAATTCTGTTATATAATAATGGGTAACCATTCTGTGAGATTCGATTATCCAAAGGGTCAACCCACGTTCACAAAGTCAACGAAACCTCACGGAAAAAAACTTCTTTTTCAGCTCCTTCATTAACTAGTTCAAGTGTTTCCCCTTTTTCAACTAAACAGTCTGTAAATCTTCAGGAAAAACGTACCTTAAACGAGATTATTTATTCGGCGAAATTCATTTCCATGCTGTATAGATCTGGGTGAGCTAAAAGAACTTGTTATAGATTCATGTATTCCGAGGGGTTGTGGGTAAGTTGTTATAAAACGTGAACAACGTAGATGGCGTTATTATCGTATAATTCTTGCCGCTGGCAAATAGACAAGAGGAGATAGCGATGACTTATTGCAAACGTAAGTGGTTTAATGGTGGAAGATTTAATTGCCAGATCCACTTAGAAGAAAAACAGATGCGGGATAAGTTACACAATAGGTAAACATACGTTGTATACGATAGTACAAACGATGCAAAAGATTCATGCTTTCATATCAAGATAATTAACGAATAGCCTATCTGTACTCGACCTGTTTACGCGAGGTGGAATGAATAGGGTTTTTTGTTGGACGCACTGCGTAACGAGTGGGGTTCCATGGCAAGAACCGATTCGCCGTAATATTCGTTTTATGCAAGCATTTTCTATAAGGCGAGATACTGAAACAGCACAGTTCCGTGTAGGACGGGCTATAAGTAACGAGATCTAATTTTGTATTGCTACCGTTTTTGAATCAATCCCTAGACGAAATAGATAATTTTGAACACGAATTGTATGAGTTACACAAAAGAGCCAATATTATATAGTTCACAACACAAACAGGCGACTAGTTGAGTCTGTCACTTGTTTCAACGGCCACATACTCAGGCGTTGTTACGGCATTCACTATCGATACCGCGTTCACCATACGGTACTCAACGCAGTCCTAGGATTAAGGTTTATCAACTGCTGCGACCCAACCCATTAAGTAAAATAAGATCAAACTTAACAGTTTGAATGCATAGTTTTCAATGCGCAAGACGGCCGGCGTGAAGCCCTGCTATTTTGTACATCCGCTTCGGAAAATCCGCCATCGTACAAACAAATAGCTAATCATAACGGTGCATAATCCTACACCGCTTTTTACTTCGAGAGTAGTACACAGATTCATAATCGCACGTAATAATACAGCCTTATTTTTCGATTTTGGTCTAGAACGTTTGCGTCGTTCGCCAATAGTTTGAAATGAAAGGCCATAATGTCTCTCAGCGAGTAGCATTCAAATTGGGAATCTGCACAATGATCCTAAATAAAGACCCTTCGCGCCATTATGACAAGTTTCTATTCTATCTGAGATATGTCTTCGGTTAGCCACACAAGGAACTGATAAAGACGAAAGACGAGAGAGAAGGTCATATGCAGTCAATATGAGTATGTAAATGTAAACTAATGTAAAAAAAAGCCACTTGTGCACCGACGCAGTGTTTCAGTCCATTGAATTCCAAATGTTACATAATTAATCTATTTCTGCTTGAGGTATGATCTTGCTTCCTATTTAGTTTTGTATATAGAAAAAAGGTGACGGATGCGCCGAAATGAATTGACAATATCAACGAGATTCGAAGCAGCGCGATGGTTCGAAAGACACGTAGTCTGGGCAGTGAAAGCGTCCATTGCGTTAGTAATCGTGAAAGAGCATATGCATGCAGGTTCAAATCTTAGCGATGGCATAAAAATTCCGTTCTGCAGGTCTGTTAGAGAGAATCCAGATAACCCCAGTAAGACCGGCCCTGGCCGTGATATACTGAGCACTCTATCATAAAAATGAACGATCTATGAGCAATTTCACAAGGCAAGGACCTTCAAGCGATGATCCGCAGAGGCAGTATACACACACGGTATACTAACTACTTACTTAGTTTTTGCGATTTACCCCGCATGCGATGAGTTTCAGGGAAAAGAAAACGTTTAAAATCGTACATATCCAATTAATTTTAGCTTGCATCATTTTTAAAATTCTTACCGCTAACGTCTTTATCTATGGAAAGGGCACCGCCGCAGAAAGACAAACATAATGAAGCTTCCAGCATTATATGAGTGAAATTATTGGATTGAAAATGTCGAAGTAGGTACGTCCGATTCAGCTTTAGAGTCAGGCTTATAGTTTTTTATTTATCTAGTAATAACAATTATAAAAAAAAACCATGAAATTTTTTTCCATGACTAATCTGAGACGATTGAGGCAGTAAGTGAAAAATTATTTAGGTACTCAGTTTGTTTAATACTTTGGACTCATAACTCACACATAACCTGATGTTTTGCATATCTACAGAATCTTTATTTACCCGGAAAACAAAACTATTTTTGGGCTATCGGTTGCCTCACATCAGCGTCAACTTGATCCTCCTCCGAGTGTCCTCCATCCAGGTGCAATCCCTGCGAAATGTCACTGTTATAGTTTCAACTGTATCTATTTCCGTCCTTCCTGTACCCCTATCACAAAATTTTCGCTCGTATCATACTTTTCTCGTGTTTCTTTTTGTGCTGGTCCACAAGTGATAGTATAAACCATTCAGTCATCAAAAGAAATAATAACGTCTGCATACCGTAACCATTGTCTCCAATCGTATAGCAACACAACAACAGCTACATAAATTCAATAGGGTACAATAAACGAACCGTTCCTCTAGCTTCGACAAAAGACTTATCTGCACATATATATATATATATATATGCAATACACATATGCATATGTATAGACAATACACTTAAATGTATGTAACATCAGCAGACCTACACGCCAATGCTAAATTCTGCATGTTCTTTGATCAACTGCAAATAACAGTAATTGATCATGTGAGATGCTGGTCTACATACCGTTCAAAGCTAGGTTTTGGCTAGTCTAAGTTCGCTGGGGTCACTGAATTCGGGCTGATCACCTGCCAGTGGTTGCGTCACAAAATCTTACATCGGCGCATATTGTCCATCGCTGTAACCTTTTGCATCTTGCTGTTCCTGGAACTGTAGCAGAAAGTTAGTCTGCCGCTTTATCTCACATACACACGGTGTACATAACGTAGCGAACTTAGGCGATAACTTCTGTATATACGGGCTTTCCCAAGTCAATCATTTTTAACCGTTGCAGCTGCAGGTTTACAAGTATTCCTAGTGACGCACTCTGTGTTTCGATTGAAGTTAATTTGGTGACAATATCATCATTTCACTACGGAATTTAATCGAGCTGAGTATTACTACACGACCTGTTGATAGTATATATACAACTGGCTCATATCGTACCACAGACGTTGTTGCCGTTGAAATCCTTTCGTGTCGAAAAAAGCATCCTCATTGCATTGTCACCTAGTTAACTGGACGATTCCAGCTTATAGCTCTACTAGGTTGGCCAAAAAGTAATGCTCGTTTTCCTTCTTTCATTGGACATTTTGTTTGTTTCTACGGAGCACCTTCGCTAAAGCCCGTTGTAGTTTTATACAAAACTTTATTTTAAGCTTAGCCTTCAAGTATGGATGACATGAATGAAACAAAGAAACCTTTCTATCACCTATTGTAACTTACGTTTTGCCGAGGCCAAAAAGCTGCCGAAGCAGCAAACTTATGGTTACTACGTACGGAAAAGACGGTTTGTAGTTCGCTTGGTTTGAAAGTGAGATTCTGGATTTACGGACTGCAGCCAGTTTCGCGATCGGTTGTTCGAGGTCGATGAGGAACTGGAAGACGAGATACGCGGAAAACGACTGGTTGCCCTTTAGACATCTTGAATTTATGATATTTCATCAGAAATTACAAGTGTCGTTATCTCATAAACTGAATCATGAATATAAGTAAGCAAGGCTTTTCGCTATATTCAAACATATCGTCCAGCACTGAGCCATAGGCACCTACAATGACACATTCGGGTACAGAATTGTTCCGGGTAGGAAACAATGGTAGGTCTGCGTCAATATAAAGTAGAAAAATAAAGATGTTATTTTTTAAGATACGCCTAGGCTCCAAATCAAGTCGCATCTTTTGATCTGTGAAACTGACAGGCTCAAGATAAAGAAGAGTAAAACAGTTTCCAGGGATCTGTATTATTATCGTAGTATGGATTATATCCACTCAACGACTCTGTGTGAAAAAGGAACTCGATGACAGAGTTATTGTTTTCCGCGATGACGCGCCAAATGTGGCGAAGGTCGTTGAAGCTGCCATATAAGATATACTTCTATTGCACCTATTTTTTAGATCAAAAATTAATCCCTAATCTGAATGGGATACAGGGCGACAAAAAATAAAAAATACTTGTAAAAAACTTAATATAATAGGCGATACGTACACTTATTAACAGAGGGTTACTTACATGTAAGGTTAAACGAATCGTTCAAGAGAGGTCGTTATCTAATCTAGTTAATTCCACGGCTTTTTCAATTATGATCGCTATTGTCCCAGGATGTTCACCTGAATCTCGGTTTTCGTTACTAACCTCGGACGTACTCACTTATCACAGTAATATTTCTTTAGACGTTTTTTTTTTATGAAACAATTTCTCACTGTGAAATGCATTGAGTGGGTTTCGCACACGCGTACATTAACCATCTGAAATCCCTAAGGCACACGCAGGATCAAGGAAAACTCATCGTAGGCCAATGGCACAGCTGAAGGCCCCGGCGATTTCGGATGCGTGTACTAGAATCAGTTGTGGATAGTTTGAACTGATCTTAAATGACTATTCAGAGTGCAAAAGCTATTACAATTAATATAATTAAAGCCGTTCTTAAACATTGTTGTTGCGTGCCATGGCTACCAAGGTAATGTCGCATATTTTTTTAGATTGAATTACCGTAACCACTCTATGGAATATGTATTTCTCATCATAGTATTGGGCGTGTATAGAGTACGACAATGGTCAATAGAATGATTTGAAATGGTGTCTAATCAACAACTTCCTACGGTTACTAGATGTAATCCCAAAGAGCTTGTAGAAAAAGTGGTGACTTTGGTGGGACTAACTGACGTACTTGATCCAGTCACTTCTATGGTCGTTCTTAAAATGAAACCGACAAACTTTTTTCTCGCTTACGCTGTGGCCAGTTGCCATACTCAAAATGCCCTTGTTTCTCTCTCGTACACTACTTTCCTATGCCGGTTATCGTCAGGCGAACACTCGCACACCCAATCCAGCCGGTGCATTCACTGAAAACATTTCCCGAAGATACTCTGATGCATGGCAACAGAATGCGTTCTACATACGCAATACAATCACTTTAAAGAGGATACAAGGCAGTTACGTTCTTTTTTTATGTAATGTATTTTAGTCCATCCAATAGGCTCGTGTAAGCACACAATATCAAGTTACTAATCATGATAACTGCTTTCCGTACTCAAAGGCATCTTTATCTACAGAATGGGTCGACAACACGTTGACAAAATTTTTTAAAACACGTATTTTTTTAAAAAAATACGTAAAAAAAGGATTTTCCTACAGACCCTCGCCTCGCTTTCTATATACTCCCAGCCGGGTACGGACATTCTGAGCCAACCACTAGTTCTGCCATCGCAGAATGTTTCAGTTATTTGATGCTACAGTAAACGTACAAGTATACATTTTTTTTCTCTCTTTTTTTATTCGATTATGTATAGCGGTAGCTGTGCAAGTCTGAGATCTTGTATTTCAGAAAATTTTGATCTCATCGCATTTATTCGATAAGGTAGTCAAATATTCGCGATAAAATGCTACTCGGAAAGTTCCGGTGAAGCAGGTCGATCAGATTAGTTTTCGATTTCCTGATGAGGCTTTTCATCACCCTGAACCACATCGATGCTGCAGCTTGGCCATCGCACCTTCAGACATTCGACTACGCCGTATCTGGTTTGTGACCAATCCCGGTCGTCATTGTAACGCTCGCCGTACAGGGTCATCTTTGCAGTACAAAAATAAATTACGGAGAGGCTTATAGATCGAAACTAGTGAAGAAACTTACTCCTTCACTCTGAGGAATATCTAATATTGCATAATGATGATCCTAGCAAAAATAAATTGATTTATCTGTCACATGTTTTGTATGCGTAGAATACATTATATGTGCTCGGAACATGTATATGTATGGCGTTTAGACATCACCATGTTCTTCTTTTTATAGTCAATAGTAAAATATTTTGCGTTACAAGCTCGATTGATGCGGCAATACGGATCCTAAACAAAACACGCGGACAGTTTCTGCTATCGTTAATCTTCTATTGAGTAACGTCAGCTATTCCAAGCACATTGTAAACAATAACACACTGATCTAACGTAGATTTTGAATTTGGCGCTTATCCGGCAAACTTTCGCTGTCCTCGAAAAATATTTTGATTTCGAATTTCGATTCGAATTTGTTTTCAAATGCTTATTCAATTGTTATCGTTTACCTTCAGGAGTGCGCTGCGCCCACTTAAACGAAGATAGCACAGGGTGTAGATTCCGGGCTTGTCCTGCAATAACCCTGCATCCTCGCAGCATACGACAGAATAGTGTGCCGCTCTATTAATGACCCACACTGGGTAAGGTGGATTTTTAAGGTAAGAACCCAATTGCAGCTCCATAGCCACATCTGGCGTGGGAAGGAAGCCGATGTCCGTTTGTTCATGTATGCCTTCAACGAAAAATCAGGCGAGATACTCCGTATTTGAATAGAGCAGTTGAAGAAATTTACATAGATTGGGTAGATATGAAATATCTACCCAATCTATGCACATGCGATGTGTATGTTGTATATATACAGCATACCTTTGAGTAACCTTTTTGAGAAACCTTTGAGTTGCATGGATACATGTAACGAGTATATGTAACCCTGATGTTAACTCTTCTCTTGAGCTTCTGGAAGTTAAGTGGCTATCATTACTTGTATTTGTTAGGCCACTAGAATCCATTGCACTGCTCGAAATAAGTTTCTAAACGTCTATAGCTATACCTGGAAAATCCGGATTAGATCCGTCCGCCAGCGTGAGAGCTGCCCGCCCGCTTATGAGGAGGTTTACCAGAGTTTGATCACAGTCGCCACGTTCTGTCAGTAAATTACTCCACTCCATGCCGCCCTTTGACGCGATCACCTACATAACAAGTACTCATGCGGTAAACCTTACCATACCGTATAGCAACTATCAAATTAACGATTGGGATCATGCGGGTCGGGCATGTTACTGCTGGCCTTCCATTTCCAAAAAAGAGGCAAATCCAGTTGTTTATAAACACTTTCGATTACCCTACTCTTATCGTAATAAAATAGTACATACTGTCTATTTAATTGCTTAGTACATAGCCCTTCGAATGTAAGCTTGCTTAATTGCTTATAATATTTCCTCTTACACAGGCCGACGACTGAGTTGTGGCTGATTCCAACAAAAATCGATGGCTTAAAAACACCCCAGCGGCTGAATGTTGCCAAACGCACAAACGTAGCGGCATTTTCCTTTGCCCCCTCCGAAAACCTTGATAGTTTTCCATTGTGGGCGACTTGTCATAATGCAATGCTACAGAAGCTTGCCATTCATCAAACGTCGGATTCCTACTATTCACGTAACGACTTTATGATCATTATTAACACAGTCTAGCTTTTGTTAGCAAAAGCTAGAGTCGGAATAAGGGACATGACTGAAAACAATCCATTTAAAGACTGCCGTTTGCTGATTAATGTCGGTCTTCTCTTGTTGTTCTGCCTAATCGTACCGCGTATCTATCTGGCAATTTGTAAAGTGAACGCATTGGCAACATGGCATCGTCGTACCGACTAAAGGTGTAGACGAAATGGAGACAGGAGACTGTCTTTGTAGTAGTAGTAGACAGAAGAAGTCTGCGCTGATGTTGTACTTGGTACGTTTGCTTATATTTTACCAACGGTGCCCTTTTTTTAAGGAGATTATGTAATGAACAAACTCATTACCGGAATATTAGGTACTCCACAGAAGTCCTGTACATTGGCCCTGTGCAAAGGACCAGGCACGAGCTACGGATGCCTGGAATCCAAACATTAACATATCTAGCAAGTCTCCCGGCGTAAAGCAAACTGCGGTATGCCTTTGGGGACGTAAAACCACTGCGTAAGATTTACTATCGCGGTATTCCTGTACCGGCATCTTTTTCAAGAACAACGACTGATATTCGTTGTAACGAACTGCAACGTTGGCAGCGTCGCACTCATTGCCACTTTACTTCCTCCCAATGCCGCAATTAGTCTTAAGCAGGATGTACTTATAACAAAAATCAAAGCTAAATACACAGCCTGTAACTTAAATTAACTATAACAATATCAGTTCCGTAATCGGACAACATATTTCAGGAAACACCCCATAAAAAAAACATTTTCTTAGTTACCGAGCATATGAATGGTAAAACTCCGTACTGGCTCATGTCTTTCTGATTCGTGCGGATAATATCCACTAACTCCGTTAACGAGGTCGCGACAGAACGGTGCCAGTGTTCTGAACTTGAGTTGGTCGAAAAAAATACAGCCTCAGCTGTCCCACCGCTGTGGTTACTTTGCGCAGCTAACCATATAGTTTTTGCAAGAGCTAATATAAGAAGAATTTTGTTCGTGTCGGACACGACAGATTCACGTATTCCATCTTGGCAGTAGGCTTTGATGATTCGTGCCTAAAACGAAAACGAACAAACGTGTCCTGTTAAAGTTAACATGAAACGTTGTGGCACTGTCTGAAGAAAAAGTGAACGTACCACAAATTTTTAGCAAAGAACGACCAAGTAAGCATATGGTCCACTGAATCGTTCTTCTATTGGCTGGTAGTCTTATTTGAGCATCCGGAAGGGTAAAGAAAGAACTAAAAGATCTACACACATTGTACTTTCATACTGCACACCCAAAATAGGTCTAGTCAACGCAGAGCCTAGCTTATTCTCAGATCAACTCTCATCGAAAGTTGTCGATCTTTGGTTTCAAAATGGCGGCTTGGTCACACGTCGCCGCACGTTTTCGTACAGTGCAAAATTCGCCCGGCGCACACTATTAGCCATTGTGCGAGGGCGCGATACAGTAGACATGTTTTTGATCGAAAGATGCATCGGTAATACACCTATTAAACACACGGTCATGAATACGTACTTGAATCTATTGTTGGGAGTTTTTGGAAATTCAGAGTGAAGGCACTCACCTACCTGTACGACAGCCAAAACCCCGCACGGTCCATCATAGGTCTGTTTGAGAAACGGTAAGTTTTTATCAGGAAACGTAAACGTTTCATTGTACCAGGCCACCTTGTCCTCCTCACAACGTATGCGCGATAAAAACAGATAGTAAAGAGTCATTTTTTCGTCATTGGTAACCAGTGTCCCCATTACGGCCATCTTGCAATGCTAAACAAGTTGACAGCTACTTCGTTTACTTCAATAAATAAAGCAATATTTCCGGCCGGTATTTCCAAGCTACAAGGGTCTGACAGTGCAGTCAATATGTCGACGGCGATATTTGTTATGTGCGGGTTTAGAGCTGTTCAGGTCTTTGTTAAGCCTTCTCTGTATTACAGGGTGTACGCCAGCGGTTAACGAGTACTTGAAATGATCGCAGGCGACAGAAGAACCTCTATTTTAAACGTGAATCCATGTTATTAACTGAGTGCATTTCGAAAATAACTCTGTATTGGCCAAGAACATGGTTCCGTATCTCGTATCTGAGAGATTTGTGTGCCTACCGCACGTAGGGACAGTGAGGTGCCACGGGTTCAAAACATAGCGAAGACACATTTCGGTTCGTGTTGGCAGAAGGAGGCACCGATTATCTGAAGTAATGCTTAACTAGAACAGCACCAATGGACACGAGACTCGGAACGTTTACGTTACGTTGACTTCCGTTGATACGCAGACATACAACAAATGTTATTTGACCTTGTTAACCATGTTTCGAATAAGTGTCCAAATGTTCTTCTAATCGAACACTGCGTAACTGTTCAATTGATGAGTGTCGAACCCTACGTAAACCAGTGAACAGAAAATCTACTAGCTTTTGGTTTTACGGGTATTTAATAACGTTTTGAAGTTTTACCAGATTTATCAAAACAAGACCTGTATTTTAAAAATTTATTTTAAAAGGATTATCGTTTCTCATCGACACTTTTTGATGCTTCATTTATGTAGAGGAAAATAGAGACTTCGTAGATTAAGTATATATATATATATATTTTGAAAAGAGAAATACTTCCGCAAAAAAGTTCCCTCGAAAATTTCTCCCTAGCAAATATTGCACGTATGCATGTGACGGCATACCGCTAATACATATGTGCGTGTCCACTGAATTAATAGGCATTTAGACCTATAAGTGCTATACTATTCAATGCTTGCTGCGTATGTGTATATCTTTTACAGATTGATATCAACTGTATCGCCGTTATTGAAACAGTTCGATAAGTTGATATTCTCTGATAATTTAAAGCATTCGACCTCTTTCAGCCGTATTGAAGATCCCTCGACATATTAAATTTCAGTTGTAACCACGTAGGTTAAAACTATGTCGGAACATTTAGGACATATTTAGCTTCTTAAGACTGTGTAAATTATATGATATGTTGTTGAAAGTCTGTAATTCATATTTGCCTGTTTCGTACAAGTACTAAGGCAGCCTTATTAGGTAGCCTTAAGACCTACTTCATAATGGAGGTGCTCGCGCAATGTTTTCGTCAAGTGTATCTACTGTAATAATTTGCTGTAGCTTTTTTTAAACGGTTGTCATCGGCGGGATTCGAACCCGCAATGCCCGGATTACCTGACTGAGTGATTCTCTCGAGCGAATTTTTAACGGGTTGACAGCGTATACTACTAGTAGTTCATTATTCCGGTTTACTCCCGGTTATGGACAACGGTTGAACCGGTGCCATGATAAGTTTTTTGCGTGACAGTGCTTGACACGACATAGCAAAAGCTTCCAGTAGTCTCGTTTTTGCTAGGTTTCGAAACGTTTCACTTATGGCTCGAGAGATTGATTTGCTACGTTAGAGTCACCCATTATGTTGTAGGCCGAGGGAAAGCCGTGAGACGAGAAAGCTTCCAAATAGAATATGTCCAGGATTTAGCTGGTATGTCCTTCATTATAAATAGATTCCACATATGATCTGACACTGAAGAGTAAAATTATAGTCATTATAATGCCACTTTCCTATGATAGAGCAGTGAGTAAAGTGTTTGCATGTTAAACGAATCAAATCGTCGAAAATGATACCGTTAAATCTTTTAAGATTTTATAGAGCGAGTACTTACGTTACTTAGCAAGTCAGCATAATTAACACGTATGCCAAAGTCGATTCCGTTTCTGAAGCGCACTTTTACATAAGTTTCCTTTCAAGCTGGCCTCTGTAGCATTACCAGAGAGAAGGCCACGAATTTTCCTTTACCTTTCTCTGGAAGCCTCTCGACTGCCCCCGACCGATGTAGGGGACCTACGATTCGTAGCTATATAACATTCGTCTGAGTTGTTCACTGCTTGATTTGCTACAGAAATCGTTTCTTTCATTAGTCGTATAGATTATTCCGCCAATCGAATTCCCGCTCCGGTTCAGGGTAACACATTGGGTTATTGTTCACTGAAGAGTTTCGAAACTTCAAGACTTCACTAACAATAAAATTTCGAAATTGGCACTGATACAAAACTTCAATTTATGTTGATTATGATAGGCAAACAGATTTAGACACCTTTCGTCATTTCTCGTAAGCTTTAGCAAAGATTTTTCTTTCAGCACGTTCTTCAGTTTGCGAATTTATTCGTTAGTCGACTATGCATGAAAATGAGGCAAATTTGCTGGATTTTCATAGTACATATTGCGCACTTGTGACACCACAGGATTTCCGCATTTCCGCTCACTTCAGGCTTAACTGGCCTAGTGACGACTAGAAGCCTATAGGAGGACAGACCCAGATAAACTCTCTAGCACAATTGAATGTACTAGTTCATACCTTCTATATAAGGTTGACATATACTTTTTTTCAACAGATATTTGCGGGGTATTCTAGCTGACGTCATACATAATATTATATCGAAACGCATAAATGTGTATACGTATATTTACAAAGAATCGATCGATCTAACGGACGATGCAGAGCAGCTTGGCGTCATTCCAAAACGATAGCCGAAGGCTTTCGCACAGATCGGTACATCCGATATATTCGATCTGAATTGCCCATGACGCAACCAGGTATTCCGGTATATTCTGTAACGGCAAAAAAATCACAACTAACGATGGCGGACTGAGGGTGTATTGGATCCACCATGACGGGAGCAGATGCAATCGATAGCGGTAAGTTCATTACAAAATTAAAGGAAATGTTAATTTCATAGTCACGTTTGTCTCTTCAACCGAACCTTGTGTGTTTATACGTGCATTGATTGACGTCAACAGGTGTGAGATAAATGTGTTTCCAATTTATCCTTACTCGTTTGCTACCAACGCGGAAAGCTTTAGTAGGTCTAATCTATAGCGTGTAGGTGACCGTAGTGTATATCATGAGTTCCACCGAACTTTTTTTGTTTAAGTTCTTTGTGCAAATTGCCTTTGGAATGCACATATTTGAGTTTATGCTGAACTCAGCTGATTAAGGATTATTTCTCTGTTGTCTAACATGGCATGGTAACGCATAGATTAACGAATGAATCACTGATCACTCAATCACGATTGAGGTAAGTAAGAACCGCAGCTAAACGTTGCGCTGCGTTACGTCAATAGGAAGATCAGCTTGAGCGAGAAGGCCGGGCTAAACATGCCGGTACTGAACCTGGTCGTAGAAAGTATAACCACGGAAAATAACCGAGAAGTTTTGTTACATCGTAGTTAATTTCGTCTTCAGAAGTAGCTCAACGCGACATTTAATAATTACTGTTGTTAGGTGTTATCTAGAACAGATACAACACTACACAGTTAGACGCCAACCAAAAAATGTTTCCTTTCATAGCTACATTTTTCCCTTGAAATTTTAATACAGGAATGAACTAGTTTAATTTTAGAAAACGACGTTACAAAAAAAAAAAACGAACTGCCAGCGCCCTTAAGATCGCCTCAAAAACGTACTTTGCTCCTCATCCGTGATGCGTATATGTGACATTTACAGCGCTTTGTGTGTATGGGCGATAGCGTATTTATGATGACTACAGGTGTAAGACTATGATAAGAAACATCTTCTGTCGACCCAGGACCGGTAAGAAAAAGAGTGTTCTGGTTGCATGCGACGTTCTGATAGAGGCCACAGGCCTAATTAGTGAGAGCTGTCGTGGATATGATAGCTAACTTGAATGATACGCGGGACTATGGGAAATTCAAACAGCTGCTGTTAGTGAATGTTTGCAAAGCGTTTATAATTCTGCTGACGGGGTACCGTCGACAGGGGCTGCGCAATATATAATAGTGGCACATATGACACAACCTGCAGGAGTGAAGAAAGTCATAGTAATTAAAATAATCATCACAATCTACGTTGGCTTTTTCCTTTTTTTTTACGTTTACGGCCATCGGCACCATCAGGACAAGTCCATTTTAGATATGAGCTGAGTCTGGCTTTCAGTCTGGACGGTTTCTTGTTTGCACCGAGGCCATTGTCCACTAATTTAATTCTCCTTCGCCTCACGCCAAACCAGCACAGACCTTCCTTTATTATTACTATATGGTAGTAGGAGAAAATATGAACCACTGGATCAGTGGCTAGGGGTACTTTTTGACTCGATTTTTCTATCGTTCTCACAGGTATCTACATAAAGATCTACTTGCCACTTGCGTACCGACACTTCGGGATCAATTCTGGCAGGGATACCTATACGTGATAGATTAATGGGGTACATATTTTCATGCTAACCTTGGGGACACACTGTGGTGTAGGTTCGAACCCAAGCATAGACAGACTTTGTTTCATGCTGGGAGCCGGCCAGCCGCATGGTGGAACGCCTGCGGTGATATCGAACGTAAAACTCGGAACATAAAGATGATAATGATAAAAAGTACTTTTCGCTTTTCCTAAACCTTTCTATTTATCTTCTTATTTTTTCATCGTATATTTTTTTAATTGACACATAGTCTGAGTTGTTGCATCTCAACGATACTGCATAAATTAGATATTTAGGTAGGTAGAGAATTTCACCCATCCATTACTACAGAACACCACGATATAGCCATACTCTGTTGCAGGGCCTTTTCTGGTTTTTCTCATCAATGAACGAATAGGTTTTAGGTCAACTGAGACGAAACGATCTGGCAACCCTATGTACATCATTGATTAATTTTATTGCATTTTTTTTATATTGTTCTTGTCGTAAGAATGCTCCAATCGGTTGAATATGTGGTATAATATGTTGAATCATTGAGTGCAATGAAAGGTATGAGTTAGCAGAGTTTCTTTAGTCGTAAGCGGTAGTACAACGATAAGATAACCAGGTTAGAATCTGACAGCTGCGAACCCGAACCGATCAACGTCGATTGTTAAATATATGAATTGGAACTTGACAGTAATTTAAAGGCAACAAACGTACTAAACGTACGCGTAGCCACCTAAACATAGCTCTGACAAGAGAACACAGCCTGAATCACCAAAATACCCTAACTAGGAAAATGGAAAATAAAACGTTGACCTATTGCTGGTGAGTTACATGATAGATAAGCGTTTTCCTTCGGTGCGTCGCATGATCGAGCTGGAAGTATGCCGAACTATGAACAATAGGCCCCATCGATGTAGTGCCTATAATCAGCCGGTCAGTCGTCCAGTTTCATGGTAATGGCTCATGGTTCTCGATGAGCATTTACCCACGCCACCATAAGGCCATTTCAAATCTATTATTCTTAATTGCAGGTTATAGCAGTTTTAACGCTGGTCGAATTTATATTTTATACTGGAGACAGCTCAGGATTCAGAAGCTTATCAGAGCGTAGTCGTCGGTACCTAGGAATCACATAGACACGACAAAAATAAGACTATTCGGTAATAAGATAACAAAAAGGATTTATTTACAAACGGTGGCGCCTTATAAACCTTGGCGGTCAATGGCAGACAAGCCATTGGACGAG